TGCTTCAGGCTTCCCGCGACTCAAATGTTCGCGGGAAGCGAGGGGAGGGGGCGGAGACTTTGGGGAGGGGGCAGAGTTGGGGCGGGGGCAGGGGCGGGGCTGGGGGCGGGGCCAGGGCCCCGTGGAGTGTCCTCCTTTCGGAGGCACTAAATATGGTAACCCTAGCCACCTGATTACAGTGACTTCTTTACATTGTTTTAATTGAACCCATAAAAATATTGTCATGTGTCTTGTGCTCATTACAGCAGTTTACTTTGTTAATTATATGCGCTAATTGCACTTTAAGATGGTTTTCATACAGTAAAAGTCATCAGCATCACAGAACTGTTTTTGCTCTTTTCACTTGCCACCACCACAGCTACACGATGTGTATGAGTGTCACAACACTGAAATAACTACTCACCCCTCTTTTCTCTGTTGTGTATTAACTACTACACAGAAGTTATCCTGCTATGCACGTGTACACTTCAGACATTCAAACTTCACTTTTACTTTTGTGTCCTGAGGCTGTATAGTCTCATTTAGGCTCTGAATATAACATTGTTTCTGCACGGTTTTCTCTTTGCACATTACTATTGCCTAGTCTTTACACTGACTTGTTTCATGCACTCTAAATAACTGTCTATCCACAGACACACTGTTTTACTGTATGCAAACTAACGCTGCATAGCACAGCATTCAGTACAAGAGGAAAGTCTACTTTGTACCCTGCTGCACACCTCAAATTTATGCAGTCAGACATTGTAGTTCAATGCAGAAAAATGCCTTCCATTTCTAGGAGATATATAGACACACTACTACACTACCCACATTCTTCTGACCTGCACTGAAATGCAAGCCCCCATCTCCCACCTCTTATTTTCCCAAGCATTTCGCACCTTCTCCATTGACCTCCATCCTGAATGGATTGGAGCTGAAGAACCACACCTCAGCAGAGAAGATGGGGGGATTTGATAGCAGCCTTCAACTACCTGAAGGGGGGTTCCAAAGAGGATGGAGCTCGGCTGTTCTCAGTGGTGGCAGATGACAGAACAAGGAGCAATGGTCTCAAGTTGCAGTGGGGGAGGTCCAGGTTGGATATCAGGAAAAACTATTTCACTAGGAGGGTGGTGAAGCTACCTAGGGAGGTGGTGGAATCTCCTTCCTTGGAGGTTTTTAAGGCAGAGCTTGACTAAATCCTGGCTGGGATGATTTAGTTGGGAATTGGTCCTGCTTTGAGCAGGGGGTTGGACTAGATGACCTCTTGAGGTCCCTTCCAACCCTGATATTCTATGATTCTATGATTGATGGTCCACCATGGCCTGCATAACTAGTGAGCAATCTCTTTTTCAGTTTATAGACCCATGTGCACTTTGGGGGCTGGAGGGGCACATGCTCTCCATCGATGGCTCCAGCACAGTTCAGGAAACCCATTCACACAAAGACTGCAGTTATTTCATGGACACCGCCCACCTTCAGCAGCTGTGGAGTAGCAAATCAATGCTTGCTTGGCAAACACAGATAGTCCAAGGGCCAGTGTGCTTCAGCAGCAGCAGTGGGAACTAAAAGTTGTGGTCTACAAACTGCAGCATGTTGGGAGATTCCTGGTTCCTGCTGGGGAGTCCCCTCTGCCCTCCCAGCCTGGGGTCTCAGCGCTGACTGAAGCTGGGGGCAGGAGGCAGCAAGCAGAGAGGAGGCTGCTGGACTGGAATCTGCTTTATGTTTCTTTACAGAATAAAGCCTCTTCCTGGCAGTTTGCCTGAAGGGGTCTGGTCTAAGGTGAAACACACCGACCCACAACACATAACACACAGAGCAGCCTCAGGCCCAGGTTCCCAAAGTTGTGTAAAAAGTCACAAGGCCGACTTGCCCTATCTTGAACAACCTCAGACTGGGCCAGTGACCAGGAGCGGGGCTCCACATATATCACTACAGAACCAACAGTTGACTCTCCAATACCGGACTGATAGTCACTGCAACAATCCGGTGTCGCACCCACTTGTGGCTGGTGTTGCTTCTCTCATCCTTTTGTCCTAGTGCTCAAGGGCTGGAACAAGCTCATCTCACAGCTCCAGGATTCTCATATAAGTCCCGAGCCCATCGCTGGTCTTCGCGTGTCTGCATGACAGGGTAGTCCCACCACTCAGTGATTGTGGGTCGGGTCCAGAACCGCTGCTCAGCACAGGCGGATTCATCTGTCATTAGAAACTGCACCCACTACCTACACTCCTCCAGCTCTGCATGCAGCTAGCACGTCCCCCTTAAGGCAGCACGACACCACTTTCTCCCGGCACTCAGCCACTGCTGCCATGTGCACCACTGCCTCTTGTGCCCCACGTCGTCGTTCTCTTCCCAGAATGACAGTTGCACTATAGTGCCCACAGGCAGTGCAGGTTCTCAGTCTAAGCAAATCCAGGCCTTGACCCCTGCTAGGATACAGGCCACAGACAGAAACAAGGGATGTGGCTGTGATGCTGGCAGGAGAGATGCCAGCTCTTGCCCAGGCTCAGGCATTAGCTAAGAACTGACAAACTCATAGCTGGCGACCAGACCAGGTCACCTGTATATTAGACTCTAAACTGAAGCCAGAGATCCCCAGGGGCACTTCCTGGGTCTGCCCTGAAAGACGCTTTGAACAGACAGATCACTGCAACTTTAACCTGTAAATAACTCTCATTCCTTTTTCCTAGTTAATCAACTATCCAAAGGTTTATTGCAGGAATGGCTGCGGGCATTGTCTGCGGTGTAGGTAGGATCTAGGGCAGGGGTTTTCAAAGGCTGGGTCGTGGCTGGTGAGGGAAAGCCGCTGGCAGGCCGCGGTCCCTTTGTTTACCTGAGCGTCCACAGGTACCGCTGCTCTCAGTGGCCGCGATTCGTGGTTCCCGGCCAATGGGGGCTGCGGGAAGTGGTGGCCTGGCCCGCGCTGGCTGGGAACGGCAAACCGTGGCCACTGGGAGCTGCGAGTGGCAGTTCCTGCGGATGCTCAGGTAAACAAAGCGTCTGCGGCCCGCCAGTGGCTTTCCCTGACCAGCCGCGACCCAGACTTTGAAAACCCCTGATCTAGAGTGTCAATTGAGTCCAGTTTGTCTGGGCTGCAAGGTGGACTGGAGAGTCTATTTGTCTGTGACTGCACGGTAAGACTGGTGTAATGATCCAGGAGGTCACTTTTGTTACTGGCTTGGTGAAATCTAATTACAGAACACAGCACCAGTTTAGGCTCTCTGCCCTGCTTTTGACAGTCTGCCCTGAGACAGGCTCTCATGGTTGTGAGCCACTCCAGACAGTGTGACAGTGGCTACCCGGAACTATTTCAATTGTGTGAGTTACTGGATATTGACCTTTGACCATAACCTGAGCTCAGGTGATCCGGTAAATAATCATTTAAACCTTAGGAAGAGTTAAGATGCTTACTAAATGAGGGCAAATGAAGCTAAATCTATAATGCAAATAGGGCTAAGGAAAGAAACTTAAAGATTATTTTAAAATGGATTTTGCAATGAGCCTAAGGCCTAGTGTTTCGTTTGAGGTCTGGTAGTAGTAATCGTTAGCATAAAACGACATTAGGCCTAATATAAGAACCAACCTTGGGTTAGAAGATTTAGCAATGTACATCTTGTGATAAACTGTGACAGACGGCAAAGGCTTGGAGTCCCCCCTTCCCCAAATCAATGGAATCAGTGTTTTGTGCAGTTACCTGGGATGATGGAGTCTGTGCGGCAATCGTACAGCATCCCCAGCTGGAAAGGACGACCCAGAGCCGGCATCTCAATGGCTGCGTTCTCCACAGAGGCCAGACTTGTTACTGGGAGATTTGCCCAGACCTAGAACACAGCACCAATGTGGTTACAGTTACTGTACAGACTCTTGTGCAGGCCATGTTCTCTTTACAGGAGAGCTCTAACCCCATTGGTGTTCAGTATTCCACGTATCGATACCGTTATGGCAGAGAGTAAGGCATTCTAGGGAACGATATTGGCAGTACTAGAACTGTACCTTTGACTTTTGAAAGGTTATTGAAAGACTTTAATCTCACAGCAGGTTAGGGAAGGCAGAGTTACAATCATGCTCTGAACAGCCATAAAAAACCTGAAAAGCAAAAGAGAAACAAAATCCAGACCAGGATTTAACTAACTGAACAAAAGGAAGAGAACCTCTGTCATTGGTCCTGCTAGTGAAGGCAGGGGGCTGGACTCAATGACCTTTCGGGGTCCCTTCCAGTTCTATGAGATAGGTGTATCTCCATATATTATATTATATTATATTATATTATATTATATTATATTATATTATATTATTGCTGATGTGTACACACAGCAGTTAGTGAGCCATTCGAATCAAGGGGGCCATGGCTGTAAAAGTGGAGAGAAACTGAATGGAGGTAATAGTGAGCTCAAAGGACAATGACAATGGAGTAATTTTACATTTGTAAGATGCATTTACATATTGGACTGACAGGAGAGGGAATAGCACAGAAAAGGAGGTTTAACAAAATCCAAATAGGAAAGCAATAAAATACAAGAAAGGTCTCATTGCATCTCTGATTCTCTTCTTTGTCTGTATCCTGAACGTTCAAAAACTTCCTACCGAGCTTAGTGCTTACTACTGTCAAAACTCTCTTGGAAGGCCCAACCTGCAAATACACACACATTTGCTTGCATGGTTTTCAGGACTGGGATCTGGGACTATTCACTTCATGGTGCGGATCTGCCGTCCTAAATGTATGTAAAATACAAAGCACACTTTGGGATTCTATATAGAAATTTCCATAGTAAAATTATTTAGAGAACAAGAAAAAGGCAAAGTCTGTCCCTCAAAAGTCAGGAAATAACAAAGTTCAGTTGCCCATGCAACCTTAATTCTGCCTTCTTGTGCATAGACCATCTGATTAAGTAGCCATGCCATAGTAAAGATTGCAATTGACTAAAGCCAATTTTTCAAAGCTTTCGAAAATCCACATACAGAGATTGGCTTGAAAACTGATGTCAGTTCAGGACATGGTGTAGAGTGAATGGTGCAAATTTGGTGTTATTTATATAAGGTGTTCATGAGACAATCTCCCCCCAAATGATCTGTTTTTAAAATTTCAAACTTTGTTATAAAGACTTATTTTTATGCTAATAGAGAGAATTCTATGGGCAGTATCTACCTAGAACTTACATCACTGGACTTATCCCAGTGAGATCTAGCAAACGGTACCAAGAACCACCTCCAAAATTAAAAAAAAATATCAGACTGTTTTTTGATAGCAAGACCTCCCCCAACAAAATAACCTCAGCCTAGGGGAAGGTGCACTGGACTGGGAACCAGAAGACTCACTGCTAATATTTTTGGAATATTTCATGGAACAGAAATGCAGTTTCTGGCAAGCTCTAAGGAAGAGGCTCTGCACACCCTTTACTGTCAGAAGTGGTAGCAGGTAGGGGAAGGGTTCTTGATGAGGGTTGGAGTTCTGGGGTTCTCCTCCCCTCCA